ACCAATCATGTTCTAAGTAGCCTTGATCGGTAGCTTGAATTCGACTTGCATGATAAAAGTATTTTTATTTTTCTGCTACGTGCCCTACGAGCGGAGATATTGCTACGCAAAGTTCAATTTGGACATTTTTACTCTAAGAAATGTCATCATTATTATCGTCGTCGCCCATGTACGGTTACAATTTCCGTTACGAGAGACGCTACTGAGCCCAAGTAGATCCAATGTACACTGCCCGCCAATGATTCGCTCGATTTTACAGTCCATTACAGAAATGTATTACTAGTTAACCAGTAATTAATTACTTATTTTGAGTATTAATTGCAGTGTTTTTAAGTATTTCTTAATGATTCAAATCTAGTAGTGCTTCCAAGTAATTCAGTGCTTAAGACTACAATGATGAAATACTATATTTTGTTTTACATGAATATTTAAACATTAATGCTAAACATTAATGCTGGTGTAGTAATGAAATTTCAACATGAACTACTGGTCAGAATTAAATTGCTGAAATTAAACACTCATATCAATGTTTAATTTCATGTTGAAATTGCATTACTACACCATAAAATACTACATAAAATAATTATTTACAGTTTATTTCTACAGCGGATTTGTACCAACGTCATCCAAGAAAGATTGTTTACTATTACAAATTATTATTTATTATTACATATATTGCAGTAAATTTTTAATTTATAATAAACTTACGATGACAACTTAAATTTCGAGTCTAAGCAAGACATTTCACTCCTTCATTTCCTATGCTTCTATGTAATGAAAAAATTAACTTAAACATACAAAACATTCTCATTTAGTAAATCTAAAAGTGCAAAAATACTGAATTTAAATTTTCGTTTTCTTATAAAAAGAATCATTGATTTATTCACATAGATTATTACATAGATTATAAATAATTATATTTATAAATATGTAATTACTAATATATATAAATATTAGATATTAGTACATTTTTTTGTTTGCATTATTTTTAAAAAATATTTTCTCTACGAAAATATAAAATCTCTACGAAAATATAAAATACAAAATTAAATGAAAACAAAACTTAAATTCTGTCAATATTAATAAATTACGTTTATTAAATTATTATATAAATCATTTGTAGCTAAATCATAAGTTAGCTATTTAGTATTATTTATCATCTAAAGCATTTTTTGATAATATAATTCCATTATAACTATAAATAGATAAATTTAAGATTTGAAATGTACTTATACAATTAAATATATATTCAAAATATTAAAATTAAAAGTTTAAGATCTTGTTTATAACATAAGTCGAATAAAAATTCTCTTTAAATTAAGAATATGTACTCATAATTAAAAACACAGAAATAATAAAATTCTTCTAAATTAAGGACGAATTTAGTTACTTATAAATTGAAAAATTGTAATTAATGTTAGTATTATGTCAAAATATAATATAATTAATGCAGTTATATTACATTGTTGTAGAATAATATACAACCAATAATAATAATAATAATAATAATGGTACCAATATTAAATAGCTATACATACATACATACATAAATATAAATATATATTGCATATGCATATATATTGCATAATATAATTATAGCATTGCGTGTATATGTTTTAATTATCTCTCTAACAAATTACACGAAATTTACAAATTAACTAAAGTAAATAATATATATATATATATATATATATATATATATATATACGCCAATATCTATTGACGAATCTCTCATTTTATTTATATATTTATTCAAAAGCTTTCTACAAATAATATCACATAATTAATTAATACAATATAAACGTAATATATAGATGAGATATGTAGTACAAGGTATTACATATTCCTTGAACAAAAACGTATTATAAAAAAGATAATTATATGCACATATATCATTACGTTATATAATGTTACTTTCAATTATACAGGTCCATGACATTTCTTTTCAATTTTCACATTTGCCGATTTTATCGATTCATTTCAAATTCATATATTCATTTATCATTAAGGTTATGTCTTTTTTTCTTATATCTTTTTTTCTATATCTTTTTTTGTTAGCAATGCAGTTCAGGACCTGCTTCGTATTGATGCTGGCACACATCCGTTAATTATTTCATTTCAAGCGCCATGAGTTTAATCTGATTTCTTAAGCTTATATTTTACATATTCATTACATACATTTCCTTACTTTTTTTTATCTGTACATAACATTTATTATTATTTAAGCAAATGAAACCAACTGGATAATTTTGAATTTGGATAATTGAATAGATAATTTTGAATTTGAGCACTGCAACTAATAATACATATTTGTATTAGTTCAATTAGAAATAAGATTTACGCTTTTGTCTTTGATAATTAAAGTTCGAATTGTTACTTATATATTTTCTATCATATATGTACGTGGAACGAAGAGACGAGCAAACACCAAAGATTTGATAAGATAAATAAATTTGATCTCAATAACATAATAATAATTTAATTATCGAGTTGAGAAGTCAATTTCCTAGCTGAGGTAATATTTTTCGCAATAAAAAATTTTCAAAAGTGGGGGATTAATCAATTTCAAATTTGATTATCGATTTAATAGGAAAAGGGTGAATTTAGATTTAGCTTTGAATAGGCTACGTTGTAAGATGATTTAACGACGTAGTTCGCAATAAGCATTGTCTTGAAATTCAGAAAAGTAAAAATTATTCGACCCAGTCTGCTGATGGAAGTCATCTATTGTCTGCTTGTTTGATAAAATAGTTTTGATAGAATAATAATCTATCTTTTATAGCGGATTATATATGTTATTATATGCCTCATCTAAAAGAAATTGTCTGCTATTACATTATTTATTATAACATACAGCAATACATTTTAAATCTATAATAAGTTTACGATGACAATTTGCAAAATAAATTCCGAGTCTAAGTAATGCATTTTTATTCATTTATTCTCAATACTTGTATATAACGAAGAAATGACTAACTTAAACGTACATAATTCTTAGATTCTCATTTAATAAATTTATAAATGTATAATTGTTGAATTTAAAAGGTTCTCTTATGAAAAAACCGTTGATTTATTTAAGATACATAAATTACAAATAATTATATTTATAAACACATAATTAAATATTAGATTCATGTATTTAAATATTAGAGTTTACTTTTATATTATTGTTTACATTATTTATCATAACATTCAATTCACTATGAAAAATTAAAGTAATAAAAGCAACACATCCCAAATTTTGTTAATATAAATAAATTATATTTATTAAATTACTATTACTATACTTATCTAAACTCTTTGTAGATAATTGACTATTTAGCACTAAAGTATTCCCTAATAATGAAATTTTGTTGTAATTGAAAATAAATAAATTCAGGGTCTCTCTCTCTCTCTC